GGCTTGATCTACGCCTCCGAATGAAATTTTTTACTATGTTTGATTTCTAAGATCGCGTTCTCATTTTCTGATTATTCTTTTTTTTTAATAGAATGCCCTTTTTATTTCATGTCTCTCATCTGTCTAAAGCTATTCTAGGTTTTTAAAAGCTTTTCTTTTGTTTCCTGAATTATCTATATATTTTTTTCTGATCCCCTAGTCCTTTCTCTCTCTCTCTATTTTAATCTCTGTATTTCAGTCTATCTTCTATGTTGGGGGGCGGGCTATACTCAAATATCCGGTGACCCTCTCACCATTCATATTTAACATTTAATACATAAAATTATAGAATATATTTATATATATGACTATCTTAAATGTGTGTGGGTACACGTGTACACACACACACACACACACACACACACACATACATAAAGACGATATATAATTCCCTTATACTTAGGGACAGCGAGTCACCGTCAGACTGACCGGAAACCCTGGGTAGGGGCAGGGCGTGCTTATACCCTGGGAGGTAACCGGGTGAGACATGCAGCCCTTTCGATGGGGATTCCGAACGCGAGTCAGGTCATTTCTTTGGGCTATTCAGTTTCTTTAGACAAGAATCCTTCGAACTCCTGCCTGAAGAGCTAGTCCCTGGCTGCAGCTGTCCCTGGCTACAGGTGCTCTGGGAGCTATATCGTGGGACGGCCCAGGAGGGTCTTGCCCGCTCGCTCTGCTGTGTGGTACCTCTCCCCCGTGGGCCGAGTTGCCCTGAGCCCGGAGCATCTCTGACTCAGTGCATCCTAGGACGACCCCCACGCTTCCAGCAGCGGGGAGGACTGGTAGAGGCCTCTAAGGCAGGGAAAGGAACAGGATCGGCCACATGGATCACGTGCCACTAACCACTGCTAACTACTCTGCAGCTACTTTCAACCGGGCCCCGCTTTCCTAGTCTCACCCTCGCACCCCTGCCGAGCCTCCCAGCGTGTCCCGGTACACCGCAGCTGCTCCCCACCTCCCAGCGTGTCCCGGTACAACGCAGCTGCTCCCCGCCCCCCATCACAGTGTCCTCCTCCCTCCAAGCACTGCTGGCATCTCCTGTTGAGTATCGTCTCCTCCTCCGTTTCTTCCTTCTTGCCTCCATTTATCTCTAGAGTCTTTAATTCCTTGCTGCAGTTCGCAGTCTTCAAATTTTGACTTCGAAATTATTATGTACTTATTGTGTACTTTATAGTCTAGGTTGTTTATCCAGAGAACTTTAGGTATTCGCCCAAATCGACTGCTAACTACATCACAACTTCTTTCAGGGAGGCTGTTGAACAGAATCGTTTTAATTTTCTGTTATTTTCTAGGGGGCATCAGGCAAAGCAAGTTAACTCCTCTATTAATGTATCTTTATAGCATCTCACTGCTATGTCAGCTCAAGAAATTGGGACCAAAAAATCACTCTGAGGCAGATGCCACATCGATTTTGCTATACGCAGGAAGGAAGGGAGAGAGGGAGGGATGCAAGGAGGGAGGGGGAGGGGGGGAAGAAACAAACATCAAGAAAAGCATTTAAAAACAGAATAGTAAGAGAATTGGCCCAAATAAAGATTTTAAGAAAAGCTATGCCAGTTCATTAAATAAGAGATTGCAGAAAATCATCTGACTTTAAGATAACTCTAAACAGTGATCACTCGCTTGGCCATCAAGTAAATTACATCACTGAATACTAACTGTGACACTCCACTCAGTCATTCACTTGACATTTACCCAAAATTCATACAAAAAGCACCATTATCCAGCAAAAAAACTATCCGCATATGCCCAGATTACCTTCTAATTATGTACTTACCCTTTTGCTACCCTGAAAGGTATACTGTGGCTTAGAATGCATGCATATGTGTGTACACTAACGTGAATATGTATGTATGCTTCGCCTCATCCCCCAAACAAATTTTAGTCAGCTTGCTGGTTATCCTTTTAATATATTACTTGGATATATTTTTATTCTCCTGAGTATATTTCTTATAAATTTGTCACCTTAAATTACGTAATTCTCTCTATCCTGTGCCATACTTAAGAGTGGGCCAATAACTTCAAAAAATGAACTGTGCTGTCACTTCGATGCAGTGGCAATCCTATCTTTGAGCTGGAAAAGACAAAAAAAAAAACTTTCTAGTCAGACTGACCTTGTTTTAAATCCCAATTCTTCCGTTTACTGAATGTATGAACTTCAAGTTGCTAATCATTTCTCCAACAGGAAAATGGACATAACATTATCTATTTTTCGGGCTGTTAAGATTAAATCATATAATACGCACCGGGCATATTGTAGATGCCCAATTCATAAAAGCTATTACAATCAAAACATAAGATGCTGAAACCTTCCACTCTAAAAGCGCATCTTTTCTAAGTAAATGCTTTTTGCCTTCGTTTCTTGGAATCATAGCACTGGTGAGCTGGCCAGTGAGAAGCAATCAGGAGGGATGAGGGAAGTTCTTAGAGTCGATTAGAGAAAGCAATACAGAGTCAGGGGGGAAAGAGAGCCTGAAAAAAAAATTAAGTACTTGAATCTATATCAGTTTTTGAACCTTTTCGAGACACAGTTTGTTCAACTACAAAATTAGAAGGTTGGATAAAGTCCCTCCAGATGTCACCGTAAAGTGTTCTGTGGCTAGATAATTTTGGAATATGCGTACGTCTCATGCCCTTCCCCTCCTGCATTAAAGGTACCAGTTTAGTTTTGTTTTACCTGACGTATACAAACGCACCTACCTACAGATGCTTCCCACTTTTCCCCCAGGTGCTATTTATTAACATATTTTGGGATGGATGAATGAGTTGATCTGCGATTTCCCATTCTACAATACGTTTCTCTGAGTTTTACTTCAGCTAAATGTTTTGGTTAGGAGAAAAAGAGAGAAAACATAATATATCAGAGGTTTTATTCATCGATGCTTTCTCTCATAGCAGCATAGAACTTTTAGAGTGGGAGGAAAATCTACCACAATTTTAATGACACTAGACGTTTCGAAGGAGCTCAGCATCTCATCTGTGTGGTACCATCGACATCTTGGGCAGCCGATGACCAAAGCATTGGCTGAATTGCTGCCAATTCAGTGGGTCTGATTTGGTTCCAAAGATGGTCAGATGACTGGGACACATCTGACAGTTTTGGCAATCAGCAAAAGAAATGAATCAACCATGTGGTAATTAGACTGGCTGCTCAGTGATCGGTGTGATAAATCACTGAGATAAATTAATCCTTAAGCTGTAGGACTATACCATGATAGCAAAATAAAACTCAAATGGGCATTCACGATGACTAATTTTTAATGCTACAATTATAAATTAGCTAAAAATGTTCATTATTAAAATACTTTCACTTTTTCTATCCATCTACCAACATTCACTTTTATCTGAAAGGAAAGGATTGTGCTAAATGTCACCGGGAATAAAAGAATGTATCATAGGAAAGAGGCCAAAGAACCTACCAAAGAAAGATCCCGGAGCCAGATGCTCCGCCAGTAACTTTTCACGTAGCCTTGAATATGTCTTTCTTGCCTAATTGTAAAAATAGCCATCCTCAAGGAGCTTATAGTTCAGTTCATTATATTTACAAATTTGAGAATTTCACTTAATGCCTTTTCATATTACAAAATCATTCTTAATTTATCTACATAGCAGAGATAAAAGCGAATGAATATTTTGATGTTCTTTAATTAATTACAGGCAATAAAGTTCCCTCCTTCATCTTAATTGCAGGGATTCTACCAGAACTTGTAATTTTTTTTTCTTTTCTTTTTTTTTTTTTTTTTTTGCTATGTCTCTTCGCTCTCAAGGCTGCTAAGGTTTTAAAGGTTTGTTCTAATTATTTGTCTTTCCATTAAATATTGTAAACCCTACCCCAAATAATTTTTCTTCTTCGCCAAAGAAAATTTATCAAAATACACTCTATAGTACCCAAAAAGTGAGTATGTTGGTAGTAGGGTGACCAGCTGTCCTGGTTTGCCAATACTGAAGGGTTTCCCACCACATAGGACTTTCCATGCAGATACCAGGACAGTCCCCGACAAACTGAGACAGTGGGTCACCTTGATTGGTAGCTTGAGAGAAGGAGTGGATGTGGTGACGGATGCCTGCATCAAAAACCTATAATTTCAATCCTGTTAGAAGTATTCTTCCTTCATTGCCAAACGGCTATAGAAAGCAATCAAACACCAGATGGATGAATGAACTTAACGACATGTAAGTTCCCTTTACACCAGTGGTCCTCAATTCTGGCTTCTTCTAGGATCATGTGGTTAACTTTTTAAAAATGATACTATTCTCTGATATAATTGGTCTGAAGGTGAGTTCCAGTCATCAGCATATGTGTTTGAAATTCCCCAGCCAATTCTAATGGAAGCCAGGGCTAAGAAACTCTATATTCATTCTGAGATTTAAACTAGTGTAGGTCTAGCAAGAGCCATTCAA